GAAGGAGAAACAAGGTTATCAAAGCGAGTGACAGAATTTGAGAAGCGACGAGATTGATTGAGGGAACGGTGGATTGAAGGAAGAAGTGATAAAGGTACAGTGCGATGAGGTCGATTGACAAACTAATATTGAACTCGTGGTTGTCTTCATCTTGAAGTGTGAAGGTGTTGAAGATGGGTTGATAGTGAGTTTTGTAATCGAACGGATGGAAGGAGCCGATGAATTACAAAGGGAAGGGGAAGAGATCAAATTTGACGAAGTCCCCTTTCACCGTGCGGATTTATTTTTCATAAACAGCTTTTTGTCAATTATCGCAATACCACAGTATTGTCAGATTATTGTCTAAATACTGTGGTACAATACTGCAGCAAAATAAGGTACCAAACGTGGTAAGATCATACCACTGTGGTATTGATGCAATTACGAAAATACCGCGGTAAAATAACCGCTCCCAAACGGGGCCTAAGTTGATGGTTTTCTAACCCATTACAAATGTTCATGACAACATAGACCTTAATCTGTGAAAGCTAATGAATTTGTAATTTTTGTGCATTGAAATTTTGCATTGGTTGAGAGAAAGTCGCCCCACACTTAGGCCCCGTTTGGGAGCGGTGATAAAGTGTACAGTACTGTAAAAGTGTACTACATTTTTGGGTCCGATAATGCAGTAAAGACAAAAAACCACTTGCAAAGTGTGGTACAATTATAATTCCTGTTTTTTGGCCATACTTGTTTGGCAGAATGACACCAACTTCATAACATCTCCATACTGCCGTATCCAAAATGTCCGACATATCAATCGATTCTTACTCAACTTTCAAAACCGATGATATTTTTGAATCTGATGAAGACCCAGAGCTAGACAACACAATCCAATCAGCCTACGAACAGCTTCTTGCAACGATGACTCCAAAGATTCCATGCCGCACTTCTTGTCTTGGTGGTGCCGCTTACTGTGAAGAGGTTCTCAATGGTAGTCCAGTACGATTCTCCGAAGTTTGCCAAATGGACAAAACAACGTTCATGCATGTGATGGACATTTTGGCGCCATACCTTGAGGATACTATTTACGTCTCAAAGCAAGAACAACTCATGATATTTTTATTCATAATGGGAAATCACGCCTCGAATCGACTTGCTGCAGAACGCTTTCAGCATTCTGGCGAGACCATCAGCCGCTACTACAATCTTGTACTACTTGTGCTTGAACACGTCTCCCAGCTACACCTTGTCCACCTGAAATTTCTTCGGACAGCAAGAGGTTCCCATGGTTCAAGGACTGTCTTGGAGCGATTGATGGAACACACATCCCTGCTGTGGTACCATTGAAAGATCACGACCTCTACCACAACCGGAAAGGGACTCTCAGTCAGAACGTCCTCGCTGGATGCTCCTTCAACATGATCTTCAATTTTGTTCTTGCCGGTTTCAAAGGTTCGGCAGCAGACGGACGGGTGTTGGAAGTGGCCAGACAACAAGGGAGATTTCTAGTACCTCCAGGTAAGAGATACACTTCTTTGCATACTTTGTTTCAATTCTAATCTCAACGGTCATGGCAGGCCGTTACTACCTTGTAGATGCGGGTTACGCTAATGAGCCAGGATTTCTGGCTCCCTATCGCGGGGTTAGGTATCATCTGAAGGAATGGGCTCGGGGTAATGAAGGCCCACAAGATTACAAGGAATTGTTCAATTTGCGGCATGCCAGCTTACGAAATGTCATCGAGCAAATCTTTGGCGTCCTCAAGAAACGATTTGAGATTTTAACATCTATGCACTCTTTTCCGATTGATCGACAGGCTTCCTTGGTCATTGCCCTCTGTACGCTGCACAACTTGATAGTGAAGAAAGGGGGGGACGACTTGTACTGTGATGAATATGATGCCGAGCAAGTTAGATTAGCACAAAGATGGCCAAACCAACGGGCACATGCTTATGAGGTTGCCTCTGCACGCCTTCGAGCTCAAGCTATGGATGATAGAGATTGGATGGCCATGGAAATGTGGGAAGCATACATTAAGCACCCTCATTATCGAGGGTGAAGATTGGTAGTGTAATGCATAGAATCATTGTCTTTGCATAATTTGAGGATATGGATCGATAACGCATCTCAGCTCTCTTGATCAAGAATCACATTTGATACTTTCATTCGGAATTGTAATTCTTTTGTTGATTTGAAATCAAGATGCAACCCATCAATCGATGCTATTCCAACATAGAATCAATCAATCTCAGTTTGTATCTCGATTGATCAATCACACGTATTAAAATCTTTCATGGTGAAATATCAGACAAAATCAAAATGATATATATTATGCCTTACACAAAAAAGATCAATAGTTTCAAACAAACCAATAAAACTGAGACAAGGAAACAGGTTAAGTAATCGCTCTCATTCAACATCTTCTTTCATTTTGACCATGACAAGTAATTATCGATTCCAGCCATGTTGTTTCTGATTTGTACTCTCTTTTGACACTTCTCAATTCAAGATGTGCTCGATCGATCATTTGTGAGTTCTATCCGATCGATCATCTTTGAGTTCTATCCAATCAATCATTTTTGAGTTTTATCACATTCCTAATTGCTTTGTATGTATTTCACACTTCAAGACATGACTCATAATCAGATCGACATGAATATTTAAGAGAAATGAAGATGAAATAGTTTGAAACAAATAAAGGATACAAAGGCTGTTCACAAATGACTGAAAACGGTTCAAGCTTGTCCATTTGCAACCTCATCAGAAAGCCAAGCCCATTTCAACTCATCGGGTAATTCAATGAAGAAGGAGCAGTTCTCCTCGTTTCGAAATACTTTTGAGGCTTTGAGACGAGCAGACAAGTCTTTAAAATACACTTCAGCATCCTCAGCAAATATCTTCAATGCCTCGCGTTGTGAAGGAAGCTTGGTGTTCTTGAGAGAGATTGATTGTTGTTCTAAATGGGCCTGATCTTGAATCAGAGCTAGCTTGCGAGCATCGTGTTCCTCGAGAGTTTTTGCACGCAAAGTCTCGCGGGTGATTGATTGGGCCGCACTCATTTTCTGATGAGCCACAGCTTCATTCAAAGATGAGGCAAGTTTTGCTTTGCTGTTTGGCCTTACACGAGTTTGAACGCCGATTCTGGAAGACACAGGCTTGGAGCTGGCAGATGTTGAAGACGTGGTTGTAACAGAAGGGTCGTTTTGAGTAATCTCGGTCTCAGAAGGTGTGTCAACACTCATGTCGACGTGAGCTGAATTTCATTTCATCCGGTGAACAAGTAAGTTCCAGTAAGCTCACCCAAAGAAACAGGATTGTATACGCACTTTGAGTAAGCTCTTCCACAGAGGGTAGGTCTTGGTCAGGATCAGCCTCAGGATCGTCGTCCAATGCGAGCTCTTCGGCTGTCAACGAGGCCTCACCACGAGCTCGAGTGCTTGTCTGAGTGCCTCGAATACCTTCAGCTGCAGCATTTGTGTCTCCACAGAGCTCGTTCATCAAAGAGTAAAGGGGGAACGGCTTCTTCTCATAAACTGCCGCCCCTTTGTGGGACTGAGAAATTGATTTTAGTGGTCATAAGAATCCCTTTCATCTTATTCAAGACGTACCTTTGAGTAGTTTGCCCAGAAATCTGGATCAGCGATAAGCATTCCTGTAGCTTCATCCCAGCCAACACCGGATGTACCCCTCAATTGATGAACAATGCCATACTGCTTCTTCACCTGTAAGCTCAGACATGAATTGTAATGAGTGCCAGGAAAAGGAAGATTGATATAGATGAATGGACTGACTGCTTGAAAGTGATTCTTGAGCTGTTCCTTTGTCAGTTCAGTCTTGTAGGTCTCGTTGTACTGATCTGTTACTGCAGTCCATGCCTCAGGCTTGAAGCCCGAGTCCGACTTTTTGCCCGCAAGCTTTTGGAGGATCAAGCCATTGATGATGGTTCGAGATTTGGCATGCGTGAAGTTAGGAGGTGTCTTCCCTTGCTCAGTACTGGAGACCCTCGGCATCTTGATGGATTTGTTTGACTGAGATTGATCGGATAGGTAATTGAGTCAACAGAAGTGATGATTCGGATGAGGACAATGGTGTGATCAACAAGAGTGTACACAAGATGAAAAGGAAACAAGGATTGTATTCCATAGAGGAATAGTCATGAATCATGTGGAAAGCTTACCTAGAGCGTAGACAAGATGAAATGGACAGGATGAGGGAAACAAACCCTTCCCCAGTGTAGCTCTGCTTATATACAAAAGATAATAACAAACGGTAGGGCAACAACAAACACATCCAAATACGGATCTTATGATCTTATAATGGGGTGTTGATCTGATGGGATCTTACGCTCCATTGTTTATCTAATAGGATCTTATGATCCGTTGTTTATCTAGCAGAATCTTATCATCAACATTAGTTGAGAAGCACACAGTGTGGTGACTCCAACAGACAAGATGGGGGGTGGAAGAGCCGGTAAGAGAGGGCAAGCTAGGGCAATCAGAGGAAGTCCTAGGAAGGAGGGATGTGAGGGGTAAAAGCAAATTTGGATAAGTCCCCTTTCACCGTGCGGATTTATTTTTCATAAAGAGCTTTTTGTCAATTACTGGATTACCACAGTATGGTGAGATTATTGTCCAAATCCTGTGGTACATTACCGTGGCAAATTAAGGTACCAAACATAGTACAACTGTACCACTGTGGTATTGATGCGATTACGCAAATACCGTGGTAAAATAACCGCTCCCAAACGGGGCCAGATTTTCACCTGGACAATTTTGGGTGTTCACAAAGGTAACATTTGTAATAATTGATTTGGAGAGAGATCTTGACTGCGACTAGCAATAATCATAGATAATGATTAGCCTACAACAAAGAGGTAGTAACACACACATTGTAAAAACAAGACCCAAACCAATAATAGCAATTGATTTGGTTGGACATGTTTTATGATAACAATGGTAAGGAAAGCTGAGTGGTTCAGTGTTCTAGGTCATAAAATCTTGCAGTTGTAAAATTGTAACTTAGCCGTTTGTTGCAGTTGTGGTTGCAGTTGCCACGTGTATGGAATACCTTCCTTCTTCAATATCTTCAATCCAGGTTTTGACCTGTTTGTCGGTCAGACGTCCGCCTTTGGCTCCTAGAGTAAGCATCTCCTGAGTCACCTGCGAGTCAGTGGCTTGACGGACGGCCAACTGAACGCCTTGGTAACACCGGCCTGCTATAGTCTCGTGTGGGTTGGGGGTCTTTGGATAGACGTCGTGCTTTGGTCCCTGAGGCGGATGCGGCAAATTCTTCCCTAAAGAAAATGAGTCAGTTGGATGAAAGACGAGTTTGAGGACTAAGTTATGGAATATCACGTACTTATCTCGTTATTCAGCAAGTTGGTGAGCTTTGTCCTCATTGTGACCTGAGGTGTTTTGTCGTTTTGGTTAGTGGATTTTTGGGTTTCAGTGAACTCAATTTGGGCTGCAGTGGACCGAATGGCGAAGTCTCTAGCAAGGTGATGAGTTCTCTTGGCGTATTCAGCCCATCGAGGGCTCGTAGTATATTCAGGATTCCACATAGGGTTTTCGAGCTTGGTCTTTGGATTCCAGCTGGCTACCAGAAGGTGCGAATGAATGCCAAATCTTTTGAAGATACTTTGGAGCTACATGAAATTTGGAGTCATAAGTAAGTGGCTTTGACTTATCATGGCAAAAAGGTTTTGGAAAGGCCGCTTACCTGGGTGGCTACCTTTCCAATCTCTTCGGGACCCCTCTTTTCAATAACAGCAAGAGATTTTGCTATTGTCTGACCCAGTACCCCACTTTGGAGATGTTTGGATACCTTATCGAGATTAGCAAGACGGGTGAAATGGTGCATGTACTGGGTTATCTCTTGATCCGTTGCACGTTCTTCTTCGGAAACCGGTGTGGCGATGTTTGTGAAATGCGCGTAGGCTAGCTTTTCAAAAAGTTTTGGCTGAAACGTCTCTGACTCAGTCTCTGTCAGTTCTGTCCATTTACGACAGTTTTGATTATGTTCGGCAAAGCCCTCCGATTGTCCTCCTGCAGGCACTGAAATTAGAAGTGCATTAGTATTAGGCTATGTTGTGATATGATAGACACTTACTTGAGATTTGCACTGTGTTGGCCAAGCTGTAGCTCATCCATGTGGTGTAGCCATTGCGGTCATGTGATATAGGGCCTTCAAATCTGTGAAGATACGATAATGGTTAAAAAAAGACGGTGACAAATAGCAACCAGAAGGAACAAAGCTGACAGTGCAGATTCCAGAGTTGCGAGGCTGGTGTTGCCAACCAAAGATAGGCTCATCTTGTCCATCGTGTAGTAACCCTGAAGTGCCTGAGCCTCGCCTAAGATAGCTGATGGGGGTCGATTTTGAGTCTTTCTTTTTGGATCATTCAACATCCTCTCAAGGGCAGGTCGTCCAAGCTCTTTGCCAACAGTGGAATAGTTATGAAGGGTTAGTTGTGTGTGATTTGGATTGTGAGTTGAAGCTGTGCCAGTTGGTTGTGGGCTTGTGTTTGAATTAGTGTTTGTTGAACAAGCAGGTCGACTTGAGTTGTTGGTTGGAGGATGTTGGCTAGATGTAGATAAGTCAACAGGGTTTCTTGAGTCGTCCTCTGAATCTTGTTCTTCAAGTTGCAGGTCCGGTTGATAATCATTGTCGTCTTCTGAATCGTCCATTGCTCGCTCGGCAGCAGTGAGAGATTCTTTGCCACTGCGTCGTTTGTAACTTGGTTTGTGGGAGGTTGTAGATCTCTTGGGTGGTGGTCTTTTGGTGGGTTTACGCTTGCCTGTAGGCATGGTGAAGTAGGAGATCGGTGAGGAAGGGTGGCAGGATGGGGTAGTGAGGGGAGGGAGGGCGAGCTACTGGTGGAAAAGAGTGGATGAAGCTGGTGAACAAAGGGTAGCTTACGTATGTACGGTGGTGAGCTGGGGAACTGGTGAAAATCTGGTGTACAAATGGTGGGGATGGTGAGGTGGTTTGCTAGTGGTAGGGTTATGGTAAGCTTGCCACATGTGGTGGACTGACTGGTGGAATGGTGAGCCTGGTGGGATGGTGGTGAGGTTTAGGTACTTGGACTATTGACGGACTTTGAGGAAAAAAATCTCAAAAAGTTCTAACTTGAGATCTAAAACTAGATCTAAGGGCAGAAACGGAACGTATCCAGTGATAGGACTTTCTCTACCACTGGATACTATTGGCCAAAAGTAAAAGGCCAGAGTAGAAATATACATAAAAAAATGATAATCCTTTTGGAAATATTTTTCTCCACATTTTTGTTCCCTAAAGCCTTACTGTATGGGCAGTATTTCTACATGTAATTCCTGAATGTGTCCGCAAGTGTAATTTTCTGAAGTTCTTTGCCCCAAGACAAATTTTGAGGGAACATATTGCCAAAATCATTCTGAATTTGATTGATATACATGTAAATGATATTTTACAAAAATTTCTGCCATAAACTTTGCCATATTCTGCCTAGAATCAAAGAATCAATCAAAATGTTGACTGCTCATGTACACGCCACAATAACAACAGTGGTTACAGCATTGCACAGAAAAGCTGTGCAACATGGCGCAACAGCTAAGCAACATACCAAGAAAACAAAAATTTACTCAATTGACAAGCACAGACAAATATCAATGAGAAATAAAAACATATGAGCAAGCGTGAATGTCATAAAAGGAATAAAAAAAATTCAACAAAGAAGATAAAAAATATAAAAACATAAAGAATTCCAAAATATATAAAAATATCAAGTCATAGGTATGCCCATCAACTTGAATACATTTGCAAGGTCCTTGAAAACACTCCCAAGCGGTACACCCTCCCTTAACCAAAGCCTGCTTGACACCAATCTTTCAATGGTACTGGGAATAAAGCTTCCTCAACTGCACAAGCAGACATCTGACGTGCAGGAGAAGATGTGTTCTGCCGCGCAAGAGGAACCTGTTGTTGCTAAGTAGTCTCTAGCCATGAGAGCCAATACACAATAAGACTTTTCATGTACCTGCAAAGAACATTAAATTCAGTAGGACCATAAATCGTAGTCCAAACAGAGTGAAACAACATACCTTCCACCACTGAAGGCTCGCTTCAGGTTTCTTAACCTCATACTTATCGGTCTGCATTTTATCAGATCCTTGTAGATAGTTTTGCAATGGTAAGTTGTCAGTCTCATCAATAACTGATTCCCCTTTGGAGTCGCTGCCAAATATCTCGGGCTTTGGTGAAGAAGTTGCAGGTGTGTTTGTACCTTTTCTTCAATCGGACTGGGATAACATTGATTTGGTAGCAGGGTGAGACAGCGCACATTGCCGGTAAAGACATTGCAGGGTCGCTTCAGCTTGCATTGTTACAATTGAATTCTCTCCATACCATTTGACAAAAAACTTCAATCAAAAGAGAGGGTGCAGAATCATAGCCATGACAAGGCTCTCACATCAAAGGGCTTTGTCCAGATATTTGTTTGTCTTTTCTTTCATCTTGGCAAGCATTGGGTAGATGGCATCACTAGTGCTGAGGGGCTTGATCTTCTTTTTGAGTGAGTTGTGGAGCTCCACATATTGTGGAATGACCATGCAGCCATTTGGGCCATTGCTCTCCATAAGGAGAGTGGTTCTTGGGAAGGGCTGAGCAAAGAATAAAAGAATATATTGGAAAAAATGATAAGGAAGGAATTAAATTAGAATTGGGAGTATGAGAAACATTAAATATAATAACAGTACCTCAAGTTCCTTAATGTTGATTCTGCGCACTTGCGCCCATTCCAACATGGTCATTTCCAGCTTGTGAAAATAGCCATAGGGGTTTTTATCCTTACACGGTGCCCGGTTCTTTGCATGTACAATGTTCAGATCATCTCGACACAATTGGTTGATAACCTAAAAAGAGAAGCATCAGATACATGGTCAGCTGTTTAAACTTCAAATGATCAATAACAAAATTGATAATTTGAAACTCTACCTCTCTTGCAAGCCGGGCTTTGTGTCGGCTTTGATACTTGATATTCCATCAAATACCATAGCCTGCAATTATTGATCCTGTGAATCCTTTTTGCTTGCTTACTTGATCAAATTCCTTTTGCCAGGCTGCTGATTGGGTAGTCCTTTGGGTGATAACTTCAACCTGAGATAAACACTTTGATCAGCTTACATTATTAATTGAGGGCAATAAAATATATCTACTTACTTTACGTAGTATAAAATCTAAGTGGTTAGCTTTGTGTCGGTGAGTCGGTTGAGCTTTGTTCGCTTCAATTATGAGCTCTGGACATATTTCATCCTCTGCATCAGCTGCATCCCATTCACCTTTGTCATCCAGCTCACAAACAACCTCTGCAGGCTGCCCATCTTCAAGGTCTTGTAAATTGTGTTCAATCAAATTGTTTTCTGACTCGACATCTTTGGATTGACCTCCACCTGGAGGTAGTATGGTTCGTTTGTCTTCCAAAGGCTCTTATTCCTTGGTGATACTGCCAATTGAAGGAAAGTAACCCCGGTCAGCTTGTTTAACTTTGAGAGGTGGTGGTGCACACTGCCAAACCTGTGTTGACTATAAACGCAAGTTTATGACAGAAGCAGAATATATGCATTGTATCAAGGTTCCACTGATACAATTCACTGGTTTCAGATTCAATGTTGTCATGTTGTAGGAATTGTTTATGCATTTTTCAAACCATTGTCTTATTGTTGGAGCCAGAGTCGGTTGTCTGACAGAGCATGTGTTATAGACAAACACAGAAGTCAGTACTACTACTACCAATTTTGAAAACCTTGAATTTATTATACAAATCATTAAATAGATTTGACTTATCTTATTGAAAGACCATGTTTCACCAAAATATTGACCATGGGGTTGGCAAGCCATGGTCCATGATGGTGCCATGTAATCACCTTGAGGGTAAGGTGGCGGAGTCTGTAATTCCAATTGTTGTCCATGAAGGTAACCAAAGCGCCAATAAATGCATGTCGATTCCCCTTTGTGGTCCATCTGTCATGAACCAAGTTGAATCGTGATTTGAGAGACTTCAAAATACAGATGCCATTAATTATAATAATTGATTGATTAGGAAACAAGAAACCACTTGATACACACCTTAATTTCCGTGAATACATTATCCTTGAGCAATACATTGATCTGCTTGGCCTTGTCAGCTGCCCATCGACAACCATAAAGATGTGTGTCCTTTCTGAGGTACCAAGTCCATCCTCAAAGGATTGGATCCTCCATGCAACTCCAAGGCTTTGCTAAGGAAACGTTGGTGGTGGCGGTAACAAAAGCATTCATTGGTCCTTTGGTGGCGAGGGCCTTTCATTCCTCAGCCACCAATTTAGGAATGCAAAGATTGGGTTCCACCTGTTGACCGTTGTTTTGTCCGGGGCATCCTTCAGGTGATTGGCCATCTGCTGTGTTACCATCTTGGTGAACCCAAAGGCTGCTAGTCAGGTTACTAAGACTAACCCTGACTGGCTTGTCACCGCCTTGTTTACGCCATTGACATGGATAGCTGAGTGGGGCCTTTGATTCATCCTAATCCCAAGACAGAGGAGACCAAAAAGTCAAAATAAAAATCAATTGAAATCAAGGGAATGGAAGAAAAAGAGAATGAAAAAAAAGATCAAAATGAAAACAAAGCTCACATCTTCTTGTCGATGGAACGGAGTACCAAAGTAAGCCTTAAGCCGGGCCAAGTCACCATCATCTTTACGTGTCTTTGCTTCAACCCTTGCGTTCTCTTCATCCGAGTCCGCCTGTAAGGCTGCTTGGGTCACATGATCAGACACAAACGGGCAGTTGGAATAGAATTGTTAGTAATAGAACATAATAAATGTTCTAATTGAAAACTTAAAAGGTAAGTTTATATTATATTAACCTTGTTCACTTGTGAGCCGCGAGATGCGGATGGTTTAGGTTATTTTTAAGACTTTCCTTTATCTTTCTTCCTCTTATTAGCGATCGGGGATGGGAAACTTTCAGATTTGGCTATTTTGATTTGGGTGGAAGACTGGTGCTTTTGTTCATTGTGATGACTAGTACTGGCCACTGATTTGTCTTCAGAGTCTTCAACTTCCATCACCCGACTATTCTTCTTGTGTCGAGACTGTCCACCAGCAAGAATGATACTGTCAATTGAGACTTGTTGTTGGGAGTCAGGTGAGGGTGCAACCATTCCCTGGCGTTTGGGCTGTTTGCAAGAGCAAGCAAGGCGTTGGGAGTCATCAGAGTTTACAGAAGACATGTTGATTGATATTAGAGTTGGTTTAAGGTGTAGTATAGCTAAAGGTATGGAAATCAAAGTAGAGATCGAAGAAATATTACTTGTTAGATAGTGAAATGTGAGATGTGGGTTGATAGAGTTAGAAAAGAAGGATGAAAACAGAGAAACGATTTGAGATGGGGCAGATTTGGAAGGAAAATTGAAAGAGATCTAAGACTATACCAGTTTTCATGTTCCAAGTTTGACTCTGAGAGTTGGCTAGTGAGCCCCTTGCTGCAAGGATGTGTGTAACCACATCCATTGAAAAGGTGTCCAGATACATCAATAATCTGTCCAGTTTGGTAAGTGTTGTGATAGATAGGTCAAGAGATTGAGGTTAGCGAGTTTGGTGTGGTGTAAAACTGCCAGAAGTGGAAAAAGGGTTACAACTTGGCCCCTACTACCTGATTGCACGTAATGGCCCCACTGCAACCGCAGCAGTTGCGGTTTGCGTTGCTGCATTGCTGGTCAAAAATTTTACCAATCTCAACCTGTAGGTTGCTCTGCTGTGTTTTACACACCAAGAGCAGCACTGCACAGTCT